TAAATATTTTTTTAAATATAATTAATTATAATTTTTAGAGAATATATAATCTTTAACATGACAATCGTGAATATGAAAAACTAAATAACTAAAAATAATAATTATATTAAGAAAACATTTGGACTGTTGGGTACAATTGCTTTTAGATGGACTACCTATTTGCATCAACTTTAAGATAGATGTTTTATACCTTTGGACCACATATTGCATAAATGTGGTCCAACCTGCATGAAACAATTGTTCAAAACAATATTCTTTGGGTTATGTATATCAAGCATACTGCGGAAGCTTGAGAGCTAATCCCATTAGAACTTGGATATTTAGGCCTTTGATATCCTATCAACTCTAGCGTATAAAACTTGTTCTCCAGCCATTTAGGTTGAGATTGTCATACCCAAATATGAGAGCCAAGTGTCCTTTCCTCTTTGAAATGCAGCATGCTGGGGTAAAATTTTGAAGTTTCAAATATAGTGTAGATCAAGCACATCTATAAAAACTTGAAAATATTGAAAACTAACAATCCAAAAATACGTTACATGATGCACAATTTTCAAAACTTGAAATCTATTTTTTTTTCATGATCATGCATCTTGATATTGAGATGATCAAATTGAGGATATTTGGACATCAAAACAACATCTTCTAGTAAAATTTTTAAGGTAGGCTCTATTTTGATTGTTTAGAGCCTCTGCTCTATATAAACTTTTAAAATTTTTGAGGTGGGCTCTACTTTGATTGTTTAGAGCCTGTGCTCTATATAAACTTTTTCCATACTTATACGAGCATGCAAGGGGACGAATGAGATACATTACCTCTAGATTTCAGCTCAATCCCTCATGGGGGTTTGGGAGAAAGCAAAGAAGCGAGATCCGACGTCACTATAGCATGTGTTGTTCATTGCCCAATTCTCGGCTACTGGTGTGAATGACTGTCTATGCAAATAGGGGAAAAGTTTATATAGAGCCGAAGCTCTTAACAATCAAATTTTAGCCTACCTCAAAACTTTCACTAGAAGAGGTTGTCTTGATGCCCAAATATCTTCAAATTGATCATCTCGACATCAAGATGCATGTACATGAGAAAAAAATAGATTTTAAGTTTTGAAAATAGTGCATTTGTTATGTATTTTTGGACCGTCAATTTTCAAGATATTGAAGTTTTCATAGATCTGACGATCTAAAATATTTTTAAAATTTAAAATTTTATAAATAAATATGAAAATATATTTTATGGTTATTACAAAAATTTTCAATATTGAAACCATATTTTCGATACTATTTGAAAGTACGCACTAATTTGATTGTTTAGAGCCTAAGCTCTATACAAACTGTACCCTTCAAATAGTGGATATGATCTTTAAAAAGTGGATCCAACAATGTAATTGATTTAAAAAATCTGAGAGTGACGTGGGGATGGCTTACATTAAAGAGTTATAGGGCATACCCCTCACCATCAGTAGTGAGAGGGCCTGGTTAATATGAGATTATTTGGTATTGGTTGCTTTGTTAAGGGAAATGCTGTATACTTGTCTCCCATCCAGCTGTCCAATTTAGATCAAGTGAGCTATTGACCGTTTGATTTAGATTTGTCATTTCAGAGTATTTTATTTTTTATTTTTTTTATACAAATTATATGATTATGAAATTTGGTACGCGTCATCATATTAATGGGATTGTCACATCCCAAGTATTTACAATACTTATATTCCTGAGATGTGACAATCAAAACATATATACATCTCTTGACAGGACAAATTTACAATGGCGAATTCTTACAAAGTAACAAAAGAAAGTTTAAGCATAACTACAGTATCTTCCAAAGTTGATCCTGACGAGCACTCAAAATGAAACCGCAGTTATCCTGAAAAAAAATGTTTACCATAATTTGATGAGCTTGGCTACTCAGTAAGTGATCATCATAATCCTAAAAATAATCATGATTGAAAGATATCAATATTTTCAAAAAGAGATCTATTAACAGAAATGCATTAACAGTTTCACTTTAAAAAATGCATAACTAACTATAATCCGAATAATTGAAATGCACATAACATTTTAACGGCAGTGCATAATTCAAAGGATTTAACAAATTACCCTATTGGCGTCCTAAGTAGGTCACCTATATACCCCATCAGCGTCTTTATGGGTCCACTTAATCCATATCAGCGTCCCAGATAAGTCCACTTAATTCCTGCAGGTCCACTTATACCTCACCGGCATACCGGATGAGTCTACTTAATCCCTACCGGCATCCCAGATAGGTCCACTTATACTACACCGACGAATCGGATGAGTCCACTTGCATACTTAAAGTATTTTTAAATCTCTTTAAACATTCGAAAGCAGCAATATCATGTACTCAACATATCACTGAAATTATTAATATGAATTTCACTGACACCATTAATAACAGTCACTTTCAATAACATTTCAAAATAACCAGTCAAATATTTTCGGCTCAAATTTAGAAAGGTAGCAGTTTGTAAAGACATTCTAGCATAATTATCAATCTAATATGTATAGAAAAACTCTTATAGAAATTCAAGAATACGAAATTATTACAATTTATGGGATGTCAATTTGAAAATAAACATTTCACAAACAATGCTCTATCAATTGCAAAAATATCAGTTTTCAAATAATAAGACAGTTATTTGCATATGAATTTTACAGTGTCTAAATATTAAAAAACAGTAGAAAGAAATCTCACAATTTTACCAAAAGTAGAAATATGATATTTATTTCTAATAATTTTACAGTATCTAAAATTTTTTAACAATAGACAAGAAAAATAAATAAATTTATTTCTAATAATTTACAGCATTTAAAATTTCTAACATAGATAAAATATCACAATTTTATTAAAAAGATTAATTTTCAAAATAATGAGGTCGCTTGCGCATAAAATTTATGGCGCCTAAAATTCATGATAATAAGCAGAAATAATTATTATTTTTAAAAAGAACGGATTATTTTTCAAGATAATGAAGTTACTTACCTAAAATATTTGAGAGGAAGCTTCCGATAAAAATTCGGCTAGAGAGAGAAAGAGCTCACTGCATTTCAACTACAGAGAGAGATCTTCAAATTTTTCTAAGATGGGAGTCATCACTTTTCTTATTTAAATTCTTACAACACCTTATTATATTCTTTTATTAAGTTACACCTCACATATGAGGTGTAACAATTATATTACGTCTTAAACGCTTAAAGCCCACGTCGTAGCAAGAGCAAAAGCTTAAACCAAAGCTTTTGAAAGTAGTTATGGTCCCTAAAGACCTTCATGCTCATATAAATCATCACTTATTTAAAAGCTTTTATTCTTTTTTTTTTCTTTTTTTTTTTTGAAATTTTAAGATTATTACAAGGGTACACCTAAAAAGTATTAATTTTTTTTTATAAAATATAATGATCAAAATACCCCATGAAATTTTTAAAAGTATTTTAGTCATTTTATTTTATTGAGAATATTTATTTTTATATTTTTCATAGATGCGATTCTAACAGAGGAGTCAGGCTCCCAAAATTTGGTATAAAAATATTTTGTAAAAAAAAATTAAAATAAAATAGTATAGGGATGTGACATTGTCATTGGGGCCACTTAGAGTGGACAGTTGGATAGGGGAAATATATAAGTTTCGATCTAGTTTAATATATAAGTTTCGACCTAGTTTCTATGCGATGAAGCCTGCATAGGTGTTAGAATTCGTGGGAGCATACATTGAATGGAGAATAGAGAGAGAAGAAGAGAGAACACAGTATTTACGTATATTTACGTGGTTCAAGCCGAAGCTTTACGTCAACAGATCCAAAGCCTAACAGCTACATCTTCACTATTTTGGATGGATGTTTACATCAATAAGTACCTCTATAGATATAAAAGACAATCACACAATTATCACACAATTAGAAGAGATAATTATAGTATGATAACTTGATGACCAAGTAACTTTGACTTGCTGTTTTCTTATCTTCTAGATACCTAATTTTATCAAGACATATATACCCATACATTTATAATGATGTATATCAATATAAACCCCAGATATCCATATCCTAACGATAGGTAGAAATTTGGGCCTATTAATAAATCTATTTTTGAGATGGATTTTCGGACTTAATTTTTAAGGACATGTAATCTCTAACATGGATATCATGAATATGAAAAAATAAGTAAATTTAAAAACTAGAAATAATAATTATAATAAGAAAATATTTGGACCATTAGTTTCCATATTTTGGAACACCTAATTGTATCCATCTTTAAGATCGATGTTTTACACTTTTTGGACTGCATATGTAATCATACAATCAAGCCCGCATAAAACAAATTTTCTATAAGTTTTATGCAGTAGGGGAAGCATAGAAAGCTTGCTATGTAGATAGCGGATGACCAATGCTTGGTCTCCTTGTAGTCCTTCTTTTCTAAGGGCTCCTTAGATGGCCACCCATTTTGAAATTTAAGGGACATGAAGGATTGTGAACTCCATAAAAAGTTTTTATAAGGTTGCAACCTTCAAATGTAGAATTACATATGCGCTTTAAAAATCCCTTGGAAAAAGGTTGTTTTAATGTTGAAAAACCTTTTAATTATCATCTCGACGTCAAGATGTAAACATATAAAAAATTTGTTTTTGAGTCTAAAAAATAGTGCATCTTGCAACACATTATCTAGGCCGCCCATTTTCAAGATTTTCATATGTTTATAGATGTTCTTGATTTTAATTATTTTTGGAGTTTAAAATTTTCTAATTAGATATGAAAATAGATTTTAAGATAATCGTAAGAATTTTTTACAATAAAATTACATGTTATGATAAAATTTGGAGGTGTGCCTTAATTGAATTGTTTAAGGTTTCAACCTTATCGAAACTGCACCCTTTAGATAGGTCTTTTGTAGTTAATATAAGTTTTGCTCGAGGTATTAGATGGTTAAAATACTTCCTCAGGAGTATAAAATCATTTGTCGAAGTTAGGGCTAAAATAAGGTTAATACGTACGTAGAAAACCGGAAAAGGACGCCCAGGTCTCCCCTCTTCCGAAGTACCGAGGGAAAGGAAAATAATAAGAATTTCAGCGTGAAAATGGGGGTAATTGAGAAGCTCAAGATGTTCGTGGTTCAGGAGCCAGTTGTGGTCGCTTCTTGCCTCATTGCTGGAGTTGGTAACTGATTTTCATCCCTTTTCTATTATTTTTGACCTTTTTAAATTTTCATCCTATTTCGCGGATTTAATGTTAACATTCCACATTATCCATCAATTTGTTCACTAGTAGCTGAATTCTAGGTTTCTTATTCATTAAATTATGTAATGCTTTCATCGATGAATTTTCTTGTTTAATTCCATGCAATTTGACATAGTCCTGATGATCTCTGGTGAAATTAAAACCCTGTAAGTTCTCTGATACATGGTTCACTTTAGGGAGGTCTCAGGGTTCTTAGCTGAAATACCTGGTTCTTGTATAAAACCCTTGATTTTAATGATTCTTTTCTTCATTGCATTATGCTTATACTTAATCTCTTTGATGTAATTTTTTTTTCCCGATTTGTCATTTATACATGTTTAAAATTTAGCAGAGGAACAAGATACGGATTTTTAATGTTATTCTTTGGGAAAAGTATAAAATGAGACCATTTACCTTTGTTACTAGGTGGTCACAATTAATCTTGACCATTGGATGTGAAATTGGATGGCTGCATTTATTCCATTGACCAAGCTCAAACTTCAAAAGAAATTTTCTCGAACTATGTGACACACCCAAGCTATCAAATTTCTTATCAGATGGTTGTAAGTAATTGTGACCACCTTGTATCAAGGTAAATAGTCGCAATGTGTGCAATCCCTATTCTTTATGTGGTTCCTTTTAAAAGATTTGTTATTCCGTGATACACAATCTGTTGGCTTGTAAAACTTGGGATGTTTTTTTCTTGAATTTTTCGATAATAAATTATTTGGTAAATAACTCTTTTCCGATATATAAATTTGGTGCAAGTTTCTCTATTGGCTTTTTGGGCCCCCTTCTATTTAAGTATCTTTGAAACAACGAGGATAAAATGGAAGGAGATTATATCCAAACAAATGGCTACCTCTCTAATTGATTCCATGAAATCATGACCTTGTCTAATCATCATCCACTTCACCTCTCCAATTGATGTCAGGCAAGCTAGAATATCCAATTAAGAGAAATTTACTTGCAAACTGGAAAAACGATGCAGCATCACTTCATGGTTCATATTTTGGGTCATATTATTATTTCCATTTGACCCCCGTTTTGAAAGTCAAGTTTCAAACCAGACTTTAGAACTATCTAAAACACAAAAAATTTATATATTTGGAGGGTTCAAAAGTGCAACTTTCAAATTATCCATATACAAAATAATTGATGTGTATGGGCTATTTGAAAGCTTACATACATACATCATTTTTTCTGGGTTGTTTGAAAGTTAGACTCTAGAATCACCCAAATATATTAATTTTTTTTTGGTGTTTCGGGTGGGCAAATGTGAATAAAAAACAGAAAAAATTGGACCTGAATGGAATATGATCTAGAATATGGGCCATGTGGTAATATCACAAACTTTTTCTAGTCCTTACTTAATATTCTCTACAATTGGTGTTTATTGATAGCTCAATGCATATGCAGCCATATCCACCACCCTTACCAATTTCATGAATGGCTTGCTTCATTCTCCTTCGAATGTGGCATCAATTTATTCTTATGGTGATGCCTTACGTTTTATTTGGGTGATCATTGGCATGTGAGAAGCTATGTCTCCAGGTCCATTGCCTCTGTAAACAGTATCATCCTTTATGTCTCTAGGGTGGCTTTTTATTTTGACAATTGGCTCTGTCTCTAGGGCCTTCTAATATGCTGGAATTTACAAGTGCATCACTGCATGATAGGATCTTTTACTTTGGCTTGGCCTCTTGAGTATGCATCTTTGTTTGATAGATGGGCCGTATCAAGTTTTGACATGATAAGAAAAAAGTTATTAAATTAGTTACTATAAAAGTGTCAAATTTCAAATATCCTATGGTAAGTTGAATATAAGGGAGATGTGTTGGGATTTGGCAAGCTGAAATCTGGTTAACCTATTGAGGGAGATATATCTCCTTTTAGGGCATTAAGTATTTGAACCAACAAGTCAAGGTACTGCCTTTTAAATGATTTATGAGCTCGAATTAAAAAATGAGTAAACACTTCCCTACTTAAATTACTGCAGTTACATTTTGACCTAAAAATGGTCATACTTGCAATATTCCAATAGTTATTCAAGTGTTTGTGCTGATCGTGGAGACATAATGAAATAGCAATTTCAAAGATGATGGAATAAAACTAGTGTCAATGATAAAAGCAAGTGCTAATTCCATGGGCACTGAAAACAAAAATAGTTCATGCTGTTCAATTTACAAATTGATGACAAAATAGACCTTCCAAAATATTTAGTCCTCTGGAATCTTGAAAAATTCTGAAAAAGTGCATAATACTCATAAATAATATTCAAAAGACATCATCATCATCATTATCCGAGCCTTATCCCAACTATTGAAAAGACACCACACTATAATTATTGAATAAGCAAGGTATATTATGCTATTTAGGAAATAGAGTAATGATACTATGAGACCCTCCCACACCCATCTGAGTAGGACCCCAAAGGATCACCATTAAATTTTGGCACAGATATTTAGAAAAGTTATCAATAAACCCATTCACCCAAGTCCCACACCCATGTGATAACTTTTTTAGAAATCTGTGTCAAAATTTAATGGTGATCCTTTGGGGTCCTTCCTACTCACATGGGTGTGGGAGGGTCTCATAGCCATTCTCCTTTAAGTCAAATGGATGTGCGAGTACTTAATTTTATAACAGCTAATGTGCTCAACAAAAGCATCTTATGCAATTAAAGTACCCATAAGAAATTTATATTTTAGTTCCATAAAGACTTAAAAGACAATATCTATGAGAATGATAGATTCAAATTGGAAGCATTAAAGGGCGTGGTTAATATGTGAACTCTAGAAACAGACTTTGTTGCGAAGTCAAAATGGTAGTCCCAAAGGGATAGAGAGCACCTGTAACTGCTCATTCCACTCTACCCTCTTCATCTTCTTCTCCTCTTCTCCTGGGCGATACTCTTTCTCTTTTTCTCATTTTCTTCACTTTTTGTCTCCTTTTTTATTTCATTTTTTGTGTATCTTCCTGTCTCTCTCAGTTTTTAACCTTATCCATGTTACAGATTTAAAATCTATGAGTATTGTTATTAGTTGTTTCCTCATGACAAGGTGGGGGATTACAAATCTATGACTCTTATTTAATTTTCGAGCTTGAACATATAATCAATTTTTCTCACTGGCTCAATGCGTATGCAGTCATTTCTAGCACCACATTAGCCTCCTTAGAGATTTCAGCACCCAATTTTTTTTACCATGTGGTGATTCCCAAATTTCACAAATGGCTTGCCTCATTCTCCACCTAATGTGACATCAAAAATAATATTTGTCGTGGGGAGGCTAAGCCTGGTTGGATAGCCAAATTCATATAGAACTTAAAGTCGTATTGACCTCTGCATTGGATTTCTTTCGCGTAATGGGGTATTTTCTCTGTTGACAGAGTCAAAAAAAAAAAAACAGGAAGTTGACAGACACATGGATGATTAGTTGATCTGATCTTGGTCCCTTCCTAACTAGGGAAGGATTGCATCCTTTGCGAGTCAGGTGCGTTAGGTATTTTCTGGGGCATTTGTGGGAACCATGGTATTAGATATTTTTGCATTACAAAAACAACTGGCAATTTTGGTATTCCATTAATGACCTGACCATTAATTTGGATGGCTTTGGATATAAGGGTAGCAACGCCCTCCAAGGAATAATGTTAATTACCCAAAATATAAAAAAGAATTCTCTTGGGTGAGAATATCAGTGAGCATCATTTACGTCTTTTTCCAGGTAGAGTTGGGCCTCTTTTAGGAAATTGATGGTATGATATTCCTTGTTTTGTTTTTTTTGCGGGGGGGTTTGGGGTTGGGGGGGGAGGTGCAACGGAATTGGGGGAAGGTGGGCAAGTGGTAAGTATATTTCAAGGCCTTCTTGCAAGGAGTAAGTGATTCTGTGGAGGAGGACTAGGATCTACCTACTTGCAATACAGTCTATGTGCAGTTCGTTTGGGGCTTCTTTTAGTAGAGGTCTTCAGCTTTGCTGGATGGGCATGCTGGGAGCCTCCAATCCCATGGCACTTTCATGTCTTCGCAGTTGTATTCAGGATTTGTCATTGTCAGTCTCATTTCATGCCTTGCATGAGGTCATAATCTCATGATGGAATTAGTTTCTTTAGATTCTTGGCTGTTCTCTTTATTCCATGTGATTTTCCCGCAACTTCTCTTAGCCCCAGTTGATTTGCTCCTCAACCTCTCTCAGCCCCAGTTGATTCTTTCTTCTACCTCTTGTATGTTGTACTAATGAGTGAATTCTCTTATATGAGGATAAAAGAAAATGGAAAGAAAAATTCTTACAACTGAATTGATGCGAATCTAGTGATATGTGATAATTTTGAAAGAAAGCCAGAGAAAAGCTTGAAAACACTCCAAATAAGAGAATTAAAGAATGAGGAGAGGAAAGAAAGCCATTCAAGATCTTCAAGAAGCCATGAGAGAGGAAGAATTTCTGGAATTGGTGAGCTGCTGGGTAGAGATACCAGATGCTAATTTGCCCTTTGTAATTATTAGTAGACAAAAAAAGTAATATAGATTGTTTGATCATGAGGAATGGGCCCGAGGCCTAGGTGGCAGAGCAACAACGTGGCATCTTGGGTTCCATTACTATGTATACTACAACCATTAACATCGTAAAAAAAGAAAAAAAAAGAAAAAAAAAGATGAGCCTGATCATGGTGCCTTGGGGAAGACAACAAAAGACGTGGTGAGGGATATGGTGTAATATTTTACCAGTGTTTCAAAAAGCGGACCGCCCAGCGCCTGGGCGGCCCCCAGGCGGTCCAGGAGGCCTGGGCGGCTGCCAGGCAGTCCAGGAGGCCTGGGCGCATCGCCCAGGCCTAGGTGGTATCCTCGTGCACCCGCCTAGACGCCCGGGAACCCGCCTAGGCGGCCGCCCAGGGGCAGAAATACCGCTCGTTGAGGCTTTTTTTGGGTCATTTTTTTTGATACTAAAAGTGCAAAATTGTAGACATTAGGTTTCAAATGAACCTAAAACCCATTAGAGGCTATTTTAGAGAGAGAAAAACCCAAACAATTTTTTTTTTTTACTGGGCCGCACAGGTTCTGGGCACCTGCCTAGGCGCTAGGCGACCTGGACCACCCGACCGCCTAGGTTCCGCCTAGCGCTATTTGAAACACTGTATTTTACCAAATCATTTATGGGAATCGAAAGAAAACTTGGGCTCCGGCTTGGGACTCGCACCCTGACCGAGCTGAGTAACTTGGGCTAGTCCAAGTGGATTTGCTCGAGTAGTGTAAAGAGCAGAAAGAAGCCATAGCAAACCAAAAAAAATAAAACAAAATGTTAAAAATAAAATAAAAATAGTAAAAATCATACTAAACGAAAATAACATGGATTTAGAAAATTTGATTTGTAGCTAGATATATTTTAGAAAATCCAAAAAAAAGAGGAAAAATATAAAAGTAGAGCATATAACAATAAAAACTCTCAAATCATCATCGTAAACATCAAAATTACATATAAAAATATTTATATGTTGATTATACAATTTAACATATTTTTTATTTTTTTATTTTTAAATATGCCCAGGCTTTACCCAAGGCCTCATTTCAGCTAGGGGCCCTGTCCAAGTGGACTTGGCCGAGTCCAAGAATAGTGCAATATTTGCAATGAAAGGCATGCTCTGAATCAAGCAGGCCTCTTGGATATAGTTTACCATTATTTTTTATTATGAAGCAGGGGCTGGGGTGGATAGGAGGTGGATGCAGCCAAACTAGTAAAAACAGCTGTGAGAGTGAGGAATTTCTCAGAGTGATCAACTCTGTATTTATTATGTTGATTCCTGAAAGATATGGAGGAATTAAGCTTAAGTTCTTATGGGCCAATTTTTTCGTGTTAGTTTCCTCACAAGATCTTAAATTATGTATTACTGTATATTCTACGGCTGATTTCTGAGGGAGGAATGGTTATAGTGGCCCATCGGCACTATGGGCTTTGCGGATGAGCTCGTCAAGAATCGCAAATCAAAGACCTGTGGAATTATTTCAGTGGAAAGTTCAAAAGCTTATCATGCCCTTGGTTGCAGCCTTCGGGCTTCCATGTATCAAAGAGACCCTTTCTTTTAGACTGTTATATGGTGGAACTTCTCCGAAGAGGCCTAAACTATTCGCTCGATCAAAGTAAAGACACCTCCATGAAGCTATAAAACACGTTAGTATTGTATTGACTTTTGTTAACAACCTTTTTATTGTTCCCTCAATTCTAATATGAGATCATCATCATCATCATCATCCGAGTCTAATCCCGACTGTTTGGGTTCCGCCAATTGTTACATGAGATCAGAAAAAAATATTGGAAATTTCCCCTGGCTTTGGGGATTGAAGCCCACACCTTATGATTGGTACATAGAGCCTGATGCTAGAAAACTATAGCATGATGCTAATGAACTATAGCACTCAAACCACAGACTGTCCTTATGCTACAGGCATCTGGCATCATGCCATATGTCTTCTGATAGGATCAGATTCATGTTTGTGAGGCTGTAATGGGATAGGGAAGCACCTAGTTAATGGTCAAACTTGGAGACATATTTCTGTTTTTGTCAAGGGACTGGAAGAAATCCGGAATGTTCAAAGGGAACATTTCAGTTTATCCTTTTTGTACTGATAACTCAAGACTTGAGTTAATAATTCAAACATTTTTCAATTAGGTGTTTGTATCTTAAAAAAATCTGAACATTATGAAATTGAGAGGACTTATAGAGGTTTCTGTTTAAAGATTTCCCAAGAGTCCAAGTTACATCACCAATTCCAAGGGAGCCTGCGTCTTATGGGTGTTTTCAGCAATTTTACAATGATTGGAAGTGTCCCGTGACAGGGGGATGGTTCAATCCCTCCGGATGGCTAAACTAAAGAAGTAGTGTGCTGTAGGAGAGGGAGGAATAGGACAAGGGCCTGAGGCATATGAATGAAATGAGGAAAAGGTCTACTTTTCTCTTCTCGTTCTTCATCTTCTTCTTTCTTCCGCTCACGAGCTCCAGTACAATGAAGTTGCCAGAAGTTCGCAACATGAGTAATTTATTCAGCATTATTCACTAGATGAATCGTATAGTCGTCATGGTATAATTGAAAAAGAAAGTTTTGTTCTAGGTGAGGGCTGCCGCTAGGGGCCAATCATTATGTGTTCATGTTTCCAAGTTTCTGGTGAGATTGAGTCAATTCAGCTGAGTTCGGATTCTGCTTGATCAGGTCTAATTCAGTCTCTGGAAATTCTAGCATTGAGTTCTTTTTCAGATTTGAGTTTCTTACTTATGGAACATGTGGGTTTTCTGTAATAGGTTACTCTGAGAAGCAAACTTGCTGAAGTGGCTTCTAGTTCTTGATGACATCTTTGTGCTCCATGGAGAATGCCCTGTATATATTTGTATACATTGTCATACACACACACACACATGTATACATGTATGTATGTATATATATTTGATTCTTTATGAACCCAACAAGAAAAAAAAAAAAGGTATGAAATGGGCACAAAAGCAAGAACTTGCTTCGGTTGTTTCTTTGAGGCTGAAGTTTTTACTTTGTTCTTTTTCTTTTGTTCTTCTCCAGGACTCTTTCTTCCAGCTGTGGTGCGGCCCATCCTAGACTCCATGGAGACATCAAAGCAAGTTCCACAACCTGCTCTAAGTGATGTATGCCTCACCCTGTGTACTGTCTTAACAATTTTTTTCTCTTATCAGTTATTTCAGAAAGCCAAACGAAAGATAATAAGTGCTACAAAAAATGGAAAATATGGAACTCTTTACTCTGTATTTAGCGGTCTATTTTGTGCTTCTTCATCTATTATGTGTTTCTCGATACTTTTTTCGTTAAATCAAATTTGCATTCTTTCCTGCACTGTGAGTAATAAGTATCCTTAGACAACGTACTAAATCAAAATACCTAACAAATCACAAAAAGTCAGCTCCTCCTTAAAAAACATGTCTCTACTTTGTGGCGGGAGTACTTGGTCAATTTGATGGGCCAAAGGATTTGGGGATGTTGGGCACCAATCAGTTTGCGTGCCTACTGCTGATTATGGTGGTGAGAAAAAAAAAAAGAATGAGATTATGGAAGTAAATAGCCTCGCATTTCTTGCTACTGCACTGTTCATTCTAGTTCCTACTGATTTTCTACTTATCATTTACGTAAAACGGTCGGTCAAGGTGTTGAATGAAACTTGAGTTAAAAGTGTTGAATGAATACAGCGTGAGTGAGCGAATGTGTGTAAGCCCAGTCAAACATGACCGTTCTAGGTGGGGCGGGCCACCCACTTGTTCATGTTCCCACCGTCTCTCATGTGGCGTCCATCACTGGTGGTTCGGTGGGTGAGCCACAAGTTGGACTGAGTCCCGCATCCAATTTGACTTGGTGGGGAACCCCTGCCTGCGATCCAGCGGATGGCAACATCTGTGTGTGTGTGCGCGCGCGTGCATACTAAGTTTCTCCTAATTTACATGGATTTCTTGTGAATAAATTTTTTTTCCTTGAGGTATATTTCCCAAAGATCTGCAACTTTGATTATGTGTGTTTTTACAGGTTGTTGCAGGCATGACAGGCAAAAAACAATAGAGGGATTGATCTCTTAGGATGTGTCAATTCATTGGTGTGACTGGTTGTGGTTCAACATTTGTGTAACTCTGGTTATTGCTGGCAATATCTCTATGGTATTCTAGTGTATGGTTGCTGGCCAAGTTCCAAAAACAAAGAGAATCTTAGTTTGATTGGCTTAAGAACTTTCGAAACACAAGTTTTTTTGTTTGCATCTGACTCAGCTAGACAGTTCCCCTCTCGTTATTCAATTGAGGGAAGGCGATTAATAAATTAGAAACTTTGGGCCCGATTTTGGCCAGCATGTGCTCTCAAACCAGAAAAGTCTGCTCCTCTCTCTCCCTCTCCTTACACCCACACACACAAGAAGATGCTACTGCAGAATTTATTTGTTTTTGGAAATTTGATTCAGTAATGATTTGTTCTCTTCCTTATGTTTGTTTTTGCCCTCCGCTTAATCGCAATTTATGGAAATTAGATCTTGAATCTGTGGTTTAAAATCTTGGCATTATGCCTTTGTGGACTCGGGTTCCAAGGACCATTAGCATTGGCACAGCTTTGTTTCTCTTTTTTTAACATTGATTGAAATGGTTTGGATGCTAATTGTTCTATTATCGAGGAGATGAAATAAATGTTTATAATCTTGGAAGCAAACTTAGTGAGTAGATTAAATATATGCTGATAATCCTGGAAGCAAAGTTAGTTATTAGTTATTAAATGTGAGTTATTTTACTAAATCTAAAATGTAAATTATGTTTTATTTATATTGAATGCTGATAGGGTTTTTATCAAGGAAAATTGTCTGGACCGCATGACCACATATGCCGTCCAAAAAGTGTAAAGCATCCTTCTTAAAGATGGATGCAAGTAGGTGTTCCATCTAAAAACAATGGAAACTAACGGTCCAATTGTTTTCTTACTAGAATTATTATTTTTAGTTTTTAAAATTTACTTATTTTTTCATTTTCATGATTTCCATTTTAGAGATTATATGTCTTTAAAACTTAAGTCCAAAAATCCATCTCAAAAATACATTTATTATTAGGCCCGCATTTCTATATATGTGGGCTTGGCTGCATAGAAACCATGTCCTTTTAAATTTTGATTTATATATATAAAAAAAAAACGGTGATGATGATCACCAGTACTATTTGAGACGGGTTGTATGAGTCTTAATATGTTATTTTGTTATATCAAGGGTCATATCTTAATGAGACTTAAATTTTTTTTGATCCAATATCCCAAGGGACACCTGCATCCTACCTATATTGTAGGTTTGTCCTTTGTATGATTGTTTGTAATTTATACGATTGTAGTACAATACAATGTCTATAGTACAGCATCCAATGTACTTACGTGGTTTAATCTCTTTTATACGATTCTACCAGGGGTAAGGCTTACCCTCGATAGAATTGAGCCCAGAACGTAGCGTTGCAAATCGTCAAGCACTAACCAATTAATTCGTCAAGCACTAACCAATTAATCTCAAGCTTTTTTACTCGATGGTGGATCTAATTTGGAAGTAAAATCATACGGGTGGGTTGAATTGATCACTCACGAGTTCCTAATGACATTGGCGATCCACGGCACTAAGAAACGAACATGGAAAAGACAAATTTGTTTCGTTCCAAAGAAAATTGGATTTCGACATATATGGCTTTAAAAATCGAGTGGTTCTGAGGGAATCCAACCAGGCAGTCGCTTTTTGAGTACTACTTAGGTGGAAAAATGGCATCAAATAGGGAGGAAAAAAATGAAAAAGAGAAACTTGGGTAAGACCTCCTATCTATACTTAAACCTACACGAAAAACTGCCATAGAGTTGAAACTTTCTTGCAAGGCACCGTCGTTTTTCACTTGTGTCTTGAATCTAAAGTAACTTGAAAAATCGAAATAACCCCAAGCAATGGTTTCAAGATTCATGTCGCTTTAATTCGGTGTCAAACCAAAAGACTTGGGCCTGTTCATCTGAAGTTGACTAAATCCAATGACATGGAGGGGAGAGATATTTCGTTGAAAAAATTTCCAAAATAGAAAATTTTAACTTGGGAGTTCAAAAAGGGTTACGGGTCTTTTGTGTATAAAGTCATGGATTTAGGCCTATGGGTGCCCATCAAAGCTCGTCCTAACCTTCTAGTTGTTCCACAAAAGTGCCGTGTGGTTCATGCCCTGCCTGGTGTCTTATCCCCTCCCAACATAAAGACTGCTGCACGAATTTCTTCGTACGTAACTCGCTCCTTCAATTAATTATCTATAAGAACCTAGAAATGTCTTCAACATAATGTTAGAGAAATTAACTTCGAATCTAAGATATGCAATTAAGGCCTCTTGGAATGACTTAAAATAGCCATTTCCACTTCCTCTATGTCAATCTCATCAACTCCTGAAATTTTCAAACCATCCATGCTGTTCACTCTCCTTCTGGCATTTACAACGAGTGAAAGAAAAGGGTTTAAATCTCATTCCTTCAGTCATTTAACTCTTGACTTTTTCCTTCAATAAATATCTTCCATTTTAAGACACTCATGTAAAGCTGTGTAGTTACTTGACCTCTCTAATTGTTTTTCAGTTGTCAAACCAATGTTATCAAATTCCATCCTTGTCAACTTCTTGAATACTGTCAAGTAATGAATCTAGACCGTTAGTTACCATGGAGTATGGATTCAAATCAAGCAAAGTTGGGCCCACTAATGCCCCCCTATACCCTATGCTTGCTTGATTGTATTGTTAAATCAAACGGATTGCTCGTCTTCACCAGGTGAAACACGATAAATGCTTGAAGGGGATGCAGCAAAGGTAGGGTTTTGGTCCATTCCTGGATGCCCTCAATCTTGTACGTCCACCGTCCAAAAATCCATCTTGGAAATTGATTACGATGAGTTTTTTATCCAAAACATCGCAAGCCCATCATCTCGACCACCACAGTTATGAATAAAAATCCATATTGGAAATTGATCACGATGAGTTTCTTGTTCAAAACATCACAAGCCTATCATCTCCACCACTACAATTATGAATATGAAATAAATAAATTCTAAACCTAAAAAGTAATCCATCTTATATCATCTTGTTTTATGTCTTGAAACCCTTAAAAACCAAGATGGAGCACGAGTTGGCGGATTCACCAAAAAAATTTTCCTCTATGATTTATTTTTTCTTATCATTATTCGTCACGTGAAAGCTTATGGTGGGGCCGAGTAGTCATATGAATATTTTGGGTAGCATGGAGTTGGATTCTTTACCAATGGTGGGCAAGATGATTTGGGAGATGGTAAGAGCTGCTGTTCTTTGGAAGATCTGGATGGAGCGCAATAGGAGGACATTTGATAACAAAGCTCTTCAGGTGGAATTGGTTAAAAGAAAGATTCTACATTCGGTTTGGAGTTGGTTCTCTGCGACAAAGTAAGGGTTTAGAGTGACCATAGCGGATGTTGAGATTAATTTGCATACTTTGATGCTTAAAAAAGTAATGAAAGTGAAGCCAAAAGGTAGGTGGAGCTTACCTATGCTAGGGAGTACCAAACTTAACTTCGATGGAAGCTCATTAGGAAACCCAGGCTTATCTAGAGTTGGAGGAATTTTGCGAGATGCATTTGGAGAGGCGATTTTTTGTTTTGCTAGTGCTTATGGGGAGGTAATAGCTAATGAAGCAGAATTGGCCGCGTTAGAGTGTGGAGTTCAGATTGTGAGTCAGAAGAATATCAGAATGCCATGTATTGTAGAAAGGGATTCTCTGAATGTGATAAATTGTTGCAATAAGATATCCAGGTCACCATGGAGCTTGAGGAGGACATGGCTAAATATTATGGATATGTGTGAGGGTCACCAAATCTCATTTCAGAATGTGTATAGGGAGGTTAATGACATTGCCGATGGATTGGCAAAATGAGAGGTGTCTATGCAGAATTTGTTTATTTCGGATGTTTGACTGATTAATAAAGCTTTAGTAACATTATCCAAAAAAAAAAACAAAAGCTTATGTAAATCCCACATTAGAATTCGAGGAAAATTATGCATGGATCGGGTTTTTGTAAAACCGTTTTTATTGTCGAGGCCACTACAACTGTGATTTCGGAAGTACATATTTTCTATAGATTAAAGGCTAAAAACCACTTTTAACTACCTACATATCCATTTCCATAATAGAAAATCAATTTGGAAATTTTTAAAATGGATGAGATTCCTATAAGGTGTAGGCTTTATAAAAACCAAATAAAACCTCACCTCAAATCCTCGTCCACAAATTACTTTTGGCAACAAAATCTCCAAGATGACTCTAAAATCAATTTCCAACACCGACAATGAAATTTAAAACTCAAAAAATAGTACAGATCTTGCGGATCTATAAACATTTATTTTTAAGAAAAAATGGAAGGTCTAGATAATTTGTTATAATAACCAAATTTTTAGAGCTTGAAATCCTTTCTATTTTTGCAATCATAATGTTCAAGTCAAGATGATCGATGTAAAAGCTTTCTAATACTTGACTTGCAATGTTAATGAGTTATAAAGTGATGTTTTATTTATTTTGGTAGTGTTGCAGCCCTATTAAGCTATTTTTCTTTTAAAATAGTGAAAAATCTGACCTATCTATTGTTAATTGAAATGGATGGTCCATATCAATTGTTGACAACGGACGGTCCAAACCAATTATGAAAGAGCAGTCAAGATGGAGCTTTATTGAGTCTCCAAATATTTCTTTCCATCCCTCTCTACCTTGGAGATCAAGAGAGGAATATGCATAGTTTAGGATCCTCAATCCATAAAAAGTAGGTTTTTTTTTTTACAAGAAAAAAAACTACTTTTTTTTATTATAAAAAAGTAGGTTTTGAGGTGTGGTTTTAGTCGCTTGGACAAACTGCTTTTGCTTTTGCTTTTGCTTTTGCTTTTGTAGGAGAACAATTACTCGAGATCTAAGGACACATTTGGTTCGTATGAAGAAATATTTTCACAGACAAAATTCTCTCATGTAGTCAGGTATGGAAGTATTTACATACCAATTAACCGTTAATTGATACAAAAAGATGCATTGTGATCAATTGGTGTGAAAATATTATCATATTTTTATACATGAAACTATTTCTCGATAAATATTCGAGACATATTTTCACGCAAAACAAACGTGTCCTAAGGGTCAAGATATCGAGAATCAACCATTCTTTTCAAATAATAATAATAATGATAGCAACCTTTGTTGGATTGGGCCCCTATTTAAACCAAAATGAGAAAAATGTTTGACTTTGGGGAACCAGCCCATTAATTATGTATCGAGCAAGGGGTGACTTTTAGGTGAATGAAAACAACAGTAGAGAGAGGA